CTTTGCTGCTGATGAAATTTGTGTCACACATACTGTAACGCATATGGGTAAAAACTAAAGTATACTTTGGGCTTACATCTAACAGGAAAAGTTCTCACAACTTTCACTAGCGTTTTTTAAAAAGCTATAGAAATGTTAATACAAAACGTTCTTAAAATAATTTGTATGGAATATTCTCATAACTTTATTAATATTTGATATGTTCTCATAACGTTGAGAGAAAATGTTCCTACCGTTCGAAGAAACATTTTTTTTGTCATTTTTAAAGAACATTCTGATCACAACAAGAAAAGTAACAATTTAACATTTTTAGAGTATTAACGTTCAAATGGGTGAAAATTAACTTAATAGCATGTGTTTGTAACCTTTAAATAATATTATAATCACAACAAGAAAACTGGACATTTCAATGAAACATTTCAAAACAATGTTCGCACAACGTTTCGGCTAGTTATGAGTACCTAAGTAAAGGATCAGTTTTGATTTCATGCAGACTTTAAACATACATCTAACAAAATGTAGTGAGCTTTATGTATAAAACAAGAAAAAAAAAAGACTGGCCAAAAAATCCCTGTTTTAAGGATGTTTAGATATTTTACTTTAGAAAAATAGCAGTGTACCTGTCCTCCTCTTCACATCACATTGCCATGACAACTCTGAACCTCAGAAAAAATCTCTTGTCAGGTATAATTGAAAAGAGAATTAAGGCTTAGCGATTGAAAAACATGCGGCCAACCCTTCCCTGCCTTACAATAACCATACCACAAATCTCCTCATGGGTTATGACAGTCATCTGGCCACTGTGCTGTAGTTGCCTGATGATAGGTTTTCTCGCTCTCGCTCCCGCTGTGTCTCGCCTCTGTGCTGTCCAGAGCTGGAGTGTGAAAAGAAATAGCTACTTTAGCCTTGGACACACACACACTGAGGTTCTGTTAACTCTACGCTGTCAGAGCAAACACAGTCATATTTCAAAATGACCGCTACCTCCCCCCTTTCCGTTTCTCTGTCATTCTTTCCCACCTCATCATCTACTGCTCCCCCCACTCTTTCGGTTCCTTTCCAATTTGTGTGATTTAATTGGTGAGTTTAGTGGCTGGAGCAAGGTGAGGGGTTGTCTGGGAGAATTTAAGGCGGCTGGTTTCTGTCAGCCTGGTGAACTCTTTCATAGTCACTTAGCTCTCTCTCTCTCTCTCTCTCTCTCTCTCTCTATCTCTCTATCTCTCTCTCTTTCTTTTCCTTTTCTCACTATCTGTCCATCTACCTCTCTCGTACTATCTACCTGCCTTGTTTATGGGGAACTTCAAACTGTACTGGGAGAGATAACTAATCTGAGAAGAACATATCTCTGAGGTAAAATGTGAAACTGCAGTGATGTATGCTGCCATATTGACCCTCCCTAGCAAACACCTCTTCTTTTCTGTCCTCAAATGAGCCATGAAGTCATCTACAACTTACTTACAGTAACAGCTTTAAGCATCAGCATTTTTATGGTAATGTTATGAGATATTTTAAGCTGCAGTGTGTATTTTCTTAGGTTGCAGTTACACTGCACATCTGGATGTCCAAATAGTTTTTTGACTATATTCGATTTTTTTTTACTTACACCTTCTTTTAAAAGTGGCCCATATCCGATATCTGCATTTACACTACACGGGCTTAACTTGATGTGCCTCAATGCATTAGATAATGATATTAAAAGACCACACTCTGCAAACACTATTAATAAAGCATGCTTTGTATAGAAAAGCAGATGAGTCCAGAATATGAAGACTTTAACTTATTGACAGAACTAATTTTGAATACGATAGGCTAGTTTCATCCTTACATCCAAATCCTTAATTACTACCAATTCCTCATGACAGTGATTAGGCCTATATACACATATCCTCTGTGCACAGTTTTGTCGCATTTACAGGTCACCTGGCGTACGTAAAAGTCACATGATCATTCTTTAATGTACTATAACCTCCAAGAAACACCTCATACATGGCCACTTTCAAGTATAAGGGGCTTTCCTTGCCATTAATACTTGGATAACCCTTATTTACACTGCACATGTCTGCAGCGCATTACGACTCCTTATTTACACTGCACACGTCTGCAGCGCACAGCCACCGGAGCTGATCGCGTCTACTTTAGTCAATGCTTGTGTTTATAGCAGCCACGCAGCGGCACGTTTCCGAACCGTCCCAGAAGTGGTTTTCCGTGCTGCTTCACTAAAGATACACATCTACGTCTCCTTTGATTAAAAATAATGGCTAGTGTGATGGATACGATATAGTAAACCTATCAACATCCGTCGCCATGTCTTATCGCAAGAGGAAAAAATTACTTTTTAGTTGCATAGCATCAGTTAACGGAATAGTCATTTCGCAATAGTTTTTTTTACTGGCATTTATAAAATATTACAAAAGTTTTGTGCAAATCTGTATTGGAAACGCAGCTATAATGAACTACTTAGTTTTTTCGCCAAGCCCATACATGACTTCAGTTCGGTTCAGTGGCATTGTTTACATTCAGTGCCGCCAATATAGCTGACTTAATTAATGACGTGTCGTGAAAACTCCCTATAGAGAGCCTCCACAGCAGTTAGCAATAGATAGAAAGAACTTGTCTGTGCATGAGCCACCGTCACTGATAACAGCGGCAACAAGCACTCAGCATGATTTTAAAAGCAACTTATTTCAGCGCCGGATCGCCTCTTATTTAACACAAACAAACTAAATTAATACTCTGCTAGTCAACTAGAGAGGTTTCATTTGTAATAGATATATCTGTACTGCGAGATGTTTCAAAAACATTTGACATCCAACTCGAATTAACAGGGGAACATCCGATCTGTCCACTTACATGACAGGCTCAAATGCACGTATCCGATTCATATCAGATTTATTTCCACATACGAATGAGGCCTGAAACCAGTCTGAGAATATTATAATTCATGTGTTTTTTTTCCTGCTTACATGTTCGTGGGCCATATCCGATCTGTGACACATGGGAGGAAAAAAATGGAATTGGGTCACTTGAACCATGCAGTGTAAATGCGAGGAATCTGTTTGAGTGACTTGATATAGCAACATCAGCTCATCCAATGAGATTGGATTACCTTGCTGAATAATGGAAGGTTGGGGAATGTTTTAAATGTTTATATTATTTTTTGCAAATTCTGTCGAGTGCCATTAGTTGTGCAGAAATCACACACTGCAGCCACTAGTGGCACCTAATTGAATTGCAAAAATAATGTCTGTTTCCAAACATGTTTCATCAAACATGCCCTCATTTGCCTTTCTTTGGACAAAAACGTATAATTCCACCCTGTAATCACACCATTAGTTGAACTAGATTGACATGTTGGGCTGCTCAAACCAAGTGATCAGTGTTTGGCTACATCCATTTAGCCCCTGCTGGTAGATGCTGTAACTAAAACCATGTTTAACCAAAAACAATTAAAAAGTATCCATGTATTATGACAAAATATTTTTTGTGTATTTCATATTTTTCATATCATCTTATATGTTTCACCTATTTGTTTTTTGAGTGCTCTTAAAAGTGTAAAAATAACTGCATTTACTGTACAGCTCAGGATAGTCGCTAGTGATGGGCTTGTGACTGTGTGCACACAGCAACCATTGAGATGAATGGAAGCACTAACGGTTAGCTTCCTCTAGGTATTAAAGCAACTGTTAGATTATTTTCCTTATCTCTCAGTGCTGTAAAATACTCTCAGCCCCTTCAGTCTTGAATGCACAGTCGTGGGAAGAGAGATGACCACAGAGACAATGTTCTGTGTTCAAACTTCTTCAAAATTTATAGTCCAAGTATCAGCTTATATACTTCTTTAATACACGAAAATAGCATGCAGTGTAATAACCATCCTCTCAAGGATACTCCTAGCTTTCTGCATTAAACATGCCTGTGGCAACATTTCTGCAAAATTATATTATGTTGTTTTTTGCATGTTTCATGTAGGCCTGTCACGATAACAACTTTTTGTTGTGCGATATATTGCCCCAGAAATAATTGCGATAAGCGATATTATTGTCATTTTAAAGACCATTTTATGCCACTGAATATATAATCATAATGTAACAGCATAATAATGCAAGAAGGCCTACACACTTCCAAATGACAACAAACTTTTAATTTTTAAGAATATTTAGATCAGGGAAATTAGGTATCAAAATATTAGATACCTTAAACCTGAATAAATAGTAAACATATATTTTTTTAACAAAAAGTGCAAAGTAACAAGTAGAAAAAAAGAAAAATGCACAAAGAACTTGTATGGAGATTTTTTCCCTGACCTTCTTTTCTCTGTAAATTGAGGGTGCACACTATTGCTGAAAAACAATCACTACTTAGCAGTCAGATGTCCAATATGCACAAAGGCACAGATCCTGAGATATCAGGATACAGATATCTGCAGATGAAACTTTTTTTGTAGAAGCACTTTTTAAATTTGAACGAGCACCTCATGAAAAGAGACACAGGCGCAAGTGGAATGTACAAAACATGGTGACATACATTTTTAAGTAAATATAATGGGCGATATATTGCGTCACCAAAAATGATTGAGGTCATGTACATATATTGCGCGACAAGTCGATATATTGATTATTGCGACAGGCCTAGTTTCATGACACTTTCAAAGTAAAAGTGTTCAGTGAGTAGCTATAAAAGCACGTTCAGTTTTATTTAAATGTGAATCTGGCAACATTTATTACATTGGTTGTTGTACATATGGCAGTTTAGAAATAAAATGTTTCGCTAAAAGGTTATTGCTTCACCGCATTCGAGAATAACGTACCACCTACACTTAACACTACCTTAACCTAATCAATAGTGTTAACAAAAGCAAACGCAAGATAAAAGCGCATTTGCTGAAGCAAATGTAACGGAGTGAAAAGGTATGTTAAATTATTGCATAAATGGGGACAGCGCCATCTATGTGGTGTGTGATGTGATTTAGCATGTGGAGTAGGGACCGCCCACAGCAGAGTTAACGAAGCATTGCTGTGGGTAAGTTGCACGTTTTTCGCGGTCTGAGAATTACCATTTATAAGTGTCCAAAACACACAAATATTTGCTTTATTGTGACTGTATCTTTCAATGAATATGTTGGGACTCTGTTAAGCCGTGTTTGGCGTCGAGTGTGTTGCTCAATATTGAGTTATAACGCGTTTATATTACGAGACCTGATTGTAATCAATTTGTGTGTTGTCTTGTGTTTTATGTAGAAATGGTTTCTTCTCTCTCTGAATCAGTGAAACCCTATTACACACTGTCTCCATTGTGCAGGTATGTTGTTAATATGTTGTTAAATGTTTGTTAAATTGTTTTATTCAAAATGAGTTGCTCAAGTTCTCCGCTAGGTGGGAATGTTTCCCTTAACTGTGAGTTTAATTGTATTGCTCTGTATTTCATTGAGGATCTTCATTCATTGATTTGTGATTTATAATTAATTGAAAATGTGTGTGTCATCTATATTCAACTTGTTAATATTTACAACTGAAACACTATACACGATGAAACACGATCACAAAGTTAAAAAGAATTTAAGTGACAGAATAAAAAAAAAGAGAACCGTTTTAAATTAAACAGAGCAGAGTTAATGAAGCATTGCTGTGGAAATGGCTTATTCTCTTTCTGAATCAGTGAAACCCTATTTACACACACTGTCTCCATTGTGCAGAAAGCAGACCGCCCAGGCAAGACCGTCACACAAACATGCCATTTCAACTTGCTTCTACAATTCTTTGAGCTCTTTTATTACATTTTATCAGCAAGTACAGTGCTGTACCAGGTGAGCCACCAAGCAAGTTTACTACAGTAGAAAAGCCATACATAAAATAACTGATTTTGTGATCCAAACATCGAAATATATGAGTTTACAAATCATGCACTAAAGCGTTTTGAGGTGATAACATAGTATTGTGCAAGGAACTGTGAGAAAATAAGTCTTTATTAATTGGTAATCTGGCCCTGTAGAGGAGTTAAATCGACTTAAGAATGGCTTACTTATAGCTGCCTCAGCTGGGATAGGAGAATATATTTTAATATCGAAAAATTACACTCTTCAGTGTGAATGTGGCCCATGCATCACAAACACCCCAGTCCATCGCACAAATCCTATAGTAGGCTAAGTAGTAATGTAGGAACTGTATGTAGCTCCTATGCTACAAGTTTAATTGAATATACATGTTCATGGTCATTCTTCTGAAGCATAGACACAAAGCCTATTTCATATAGTCGATCTCTCTCTTTCCTCTCTGATGATTTATTTGTTCTCTTCCTGTGCAGCTGCCCTAGAGATAAGTGGCTGTTTATCAAATTGCCTGTCAGAAACACTCGGCAGATTAATCCACAGCTCTTATCGCTGCGCTGAGAGAAAACTTCCCAGTGCTTTTAATTCACTGAATTGGATTACAGTATTACACAAGCACCTCTCGTGACTGGAGTGCACAACTCGTTTTAATACAAAAAACCTCCCTTAGACCCCGTCCAAGCTGGAAGCGAGCAATGTGATGAACGCTCTTGTTATAATCAATGAAGCAGCATAAACTGCAAGTGTGTGAGTTTTGTGGTGACTGCTGTTCTGGAGTCTATTACTTCTTTAAAAAACAAACAAAAAAACATTTGCAAAGTCTTGAGGTTTGATGCCAGATGATAGACTCTATTCTCAAAGAAATAATGCCAAGCCAAACAGAGTGGCTGCAGAGTCCAGACTTGAACTCACATATATATACCCAAAGGTAATCATTAATTCCATACATATACTTATATTTTAAGCAGTGAATATGAGTCAAGGGCTTCACCATATATGAACATTTCAGGAATTAAATAGATGGTCATGTTTGCACTCTCCATTTCTGGTGTACACTCTGCTTCTCTTAAGATACTGAGCAATATATAATAGTAAACTTTGATACTATTCTCATAGATTACACTCAATTCAGTTATATTCTAATCAATTAACATATTCTACACTACCAATGGAAGTGCCGATAGTGTTGCTTATGTGATCCACTACTTGAAACTGTTGGATACTATGAGTAGGAAAGCAAGTGTGCTGTAGTTTTTGATTGCAATACCCAAAATCGATGGATAGAATCAAGTCCCCTCCCTTCATTTGTTACATGGATTTACGTAACAATACATAAGACATACTTTTGTTTAATTAAGCTGAAATAACAAAGATTGATGGCTTCAAAAGAGGCTTATACCACTGTTGTTATTGTCAGCTAAAACTAAAATTATCAAAAAAATCGCTAACTGAATGCTGACAAAAAAAAAAAAGATGAAAAACTTAAACTTGAAACTAGAAATGTTGCCTTGGCAGCTAACTATATTAAAATAAGACTATTAAAATGGCTTCAGAGGCTCATTCCAGCGTTGTGATAATGAACTAAAACTGAACCTAAATTAAATAAAGCTAAAAGTAAAATAAAATATTAAATGAAAAATTTAAGATTAAGTAAAATGAGAAATGCTGCCATAGCAGCTAACTGAATGTCACGAGACTGCAAAGGAGGCGAAGGTTAGGATCCAAATGTTAAAGTTTAATAATGTAAAAAGGAGTAATCCACAATCATAGTCAGACAGGCATGAGGTCATACATCATCATTCCAAACATAGGCACAGTAAGGAGCTCAGGAAAACAGAGCAATCCTGGCTATCAGGCTTAAAAAAACATGAAACAAGACTCAAGATAGCAGTGTGACACTGTCAATAGCAGAAACAAACAGGCTTATATAGGCAGAGGAAACAAGATAATTAGGAACAGGTGTGTTCAATCAGGCATACGTCTAGGCAGTGGCTTGTGGGAAATGAAGTGCATGACACAATGACCATAATGGAGAATGGAGTACCCTCTGGAGGACAACCAGAGCATGCCATCTGACCATCGTTTCATAGCCCCCTTAAGGAGCGGCTTCCAGACTCTCCTAAACATAAAACTTCAACTCCAGGAGGGTGGTGGAGCAGCGGCGGAATCAGGGGGAGGGATGAAGGGCCAGACCTGTGGACGAGGAACAAGAGGCCAGGGCAGAGCCGAAGACCACCAGGGTGGAGCAGACAGGACCGAAGATCCCCACGGTGGAGCAGATGACCACCACAGGTCAGGAGGCCAAGGCGAAGCAGAGACATGGACGGACCACCTGGCCACGACAGAACAGAAAGAGAGTTCGTGAATGGCCTCCAGAGCCTTGACATGACAGGCTGAGAGCACAGAGACGGCCTCATAGGCCGTGATAGGGAAGACTGTGAGTTCAGAGACAGGACCTGCAGAAGGTTTACGTGTTACCACTGTGGTCAAAACAGGACAGTCAGGAGACTCAAAGGCTGGCGCCAACACAGGACTAAGCTCTGGGGCTTGAGAGAACTGGAGAGGGCTCTGGAGAAGACTCATGGATTGGAGCAGGCTCTGGAGCAGACTTATGGGCTGGAGCAGGCTCTGGAGCGGATTCATGAAATGGAGCAGGCACTGGATTGGCAGACATGACATGAGCAGGCTTTGGCTTAGCAGACTTGACCAGAACAGTCTCTGACTTAGCAGACTTGACTTGAACTGGCTCTGGCTTGACATGAACAGACTCTGGCTTGGCAGACTTGACAGCAGTAACATGGCGTGGATCTGGTGTGGTGGCTGAGGGAACACTGCATTGCTCTTAAAACAAAACACTGAGAACTTTTTAAAAGATATCTTTTGTGTTTCACAGAAAAAAAAAACTCATACAGGTTTGGAAGGACATGAGGGTGAGTAAATGTTGATGTGTTTAGGTGAAATATCTACTAACTATCCTTTTTAATTCTGTAGTCTATAAATTTTTTGTCTCCACGTGTATAGAGACTAACTGGAGCATTATAGTTTTGTTGTCATTCTCTTACAGTGTAGTTACATTGTTTTACACCTTATGGTTTTGCACTCAAAGCTTGCATGTGTTCTGATGGAATTACATCGGTTAAAATGGAAATAGGTGGCTTTAAAGGAAAAAGTGTGGAATGTTGAATATTAAGAAGGCTTGTCTGGGTCCAGCTCATCTGATGGGTTGCCGTAACAGTTGCTGTTTCAATCCGTAGCTCTATATGTAAAGTAGCCTCATGGGACAGCAGGAAAGGGGGCTCAGCTCAGCCGGATGAGTGATTGAGGAGATTTAAAGGCTGCGTGGTGAATGGATAGAGAGCGGGATGGAGAGAGAGAGATGATAGATGTGGTAGGCGTGTGCAAAATGTCTGTAGGAGACTCAGGTGTCAGAGTCCCGACAATTCCCTGTGGACTGTAAACTTGTGAACTTTGCCGTCTATTTAGTCACTTGCTGTCTCGTTCGCTCACTCATTGAGCTTTAAAGAGTGGGCGGGATGGCTCGTTGTCATGGTGATGACTGACAGCCAAGTGTTCCTTTAGTTCATAAAGACTTATAGAGTTTTAAATTAGCCCCCTAAGCCCATGGCCAGGTCTTACCTATGTAAAATTCATATCTTCTTCTCATTGCATGCCTTTTACATTAATTTTTAACTAGATAGACCAGTCGACCTATAAATGTGTGCAACAATTACATGGGAGTATGAGCCAGTTGTATGTTACGTATGCAGAAATCTTCATTCCAGGTTTAAGTTGGCTCTAAAGTCCAAGTTTTGGCCACCTGGGGAGTTTAAACTATGCAGTCTTGCTAAATGAGATCCACTGTGTCCCCCAGCAGTGTACATGACCTGAGTTCTCTACAGCAGCAGGCTTATGGGCATTAAAGTGCCTCAGTGACGCCAGGAATCCATTACTCTGCTATTCTGAGCATTCTACAGATTGCTCCCTGCGTGGAATAACAAGCAGCTGGGAATGGTCAGGAAGCAAACGGAAGGTCCGGATGACTGACAAGAGATCAGTGGGAACAGCCCGAGAGCTCGGCCAGGGCCCGGTTAACTGACAGCAGATCAGCGCTGATAGGACAGGGGGAAAATGAGAGTGCTCTGAAAACGCTTTGCTGGGGGCCAAAAGCCTGCCACAGCCCAGGTGTGTGAATGGAGCCGGGGACCAGAGGAGACAGCAGCGGAGGGAGATACGCCGACCGGTTGGACAGAGGTAAGCGTAGCTGAGAGAGGAGGCGATGAACATGTGGGGAGACAATAGTTAAGGGAAGTTAGAGGTGATGGGAGGGGGTTGATGAGGAGGGGAGAGGAGGATGTGTGTTTCTGTGTGTGTATGAATGGAGAATGTTGGACTGATGAGGGATAGAAAGAAAAAGACGAGAGTTAAGAGTCAGGATGTGGAGAAAAATTTTAATTCCACATCAGTGTACACACAGTTGTCCTGCTGTGAGCTTCCTACTGTGTAAATGAAGATGATGATGAAGTCATTGGTCCAGACAGAGAATGTGGGACTGCTGATTACGTACATGTGTACGTCTCTGTGTGTGTGTGTGTGTGTGTGTGTGTGTGTGTGTGGAGGAGAGAGGCTGCTCGCAATTCATTCACCTTTTACTTTCAAGAACAATTGTGTGTGTTTGTGTGTGTGTGTGTG